AAAAAAAAAAAAATCAATCAGAGCTTTGAGAACAAGAAAAAAGTGGACTTAATCTACACATTGGGTCGTCAAACAAAATCCTAACCTGGCATTTAGTCTCTGAAGCCTGACCACAATACCCAAATAGCCATGAATAGTAGAAATGGATAAACTGTGGAATACTCATATGATGAAACACTATACAGCAATGGAAAAGACAAATTACTGATATATACAACTACCTATATGAATTTAACAGACAATGCTTTGTGAAAGATGTCAGACACAAGACTGCATAGCATACAACTGCATTTATATGAAGTTCAAAAATAGGTAACACTATCCAATGGAGAGAAAAGTCAGAATGGAATGATGGGATAGGTGCTGGTGAGGATACTGATGGGGCAGGAGCCTTGGTAGGGTGCTGAAAATGTTCTATATCTTTACCTGGGAGGTGACTATATGCAAAAATGTATAAATCTTGATTTATACAAAAAAGTGTATAAATCTTGATTTATACACTTGCTCGATGAAAGTTATTCCTTAATTGTCTAAAGAGTGAAATGGTTAAATTTTTTTAAAAAGGTATAGAATTCCCCAAATACACCATTTATTGAAAATAAAAACATTGCTAAAAGCATAAAATATACATGTAAAAGCTAAACGTTAAAGGCAGATTAAATACTGTAACCAATGTAAAAAAAAATTTTACAGAAAAAGACTAAATTAAAATTTGAATATGAAAATGGTTAGAAATATCACATGCTTCCTTTTTGACTTGGGGTATGCTTTCTTTTGAGATGATCAATTCCTGTGAACATACTTCCCAGGCCTGAATACGAGCTCTAACTTAGTTGAGTAATTTTTGGCAAATTACTTAACCTGTTTTGATCTCCTTTTCTTCATCAGAAAAATGATGATAATAAAACTATCACCCACTTCTGAAGATTGTTGTGAAAAGTGAACAAGATAACACTTGTAAAGTATCAGTGTCTAGCACATAGTAAAAACTCAATAAATGTTATCACTATTACCAAATAGTTGCAATGTCTTAAGATAGACAAATATTTCATATTCACAAATTTTCCATCTGTTATCAATAATATACCTGAGTACGTCCCCTCTGAGGTGATTATAACCAAAAGCAATAATATTCTTCACTATCTGAACAGATGAGCTACAGCAAAATTAGTTAATTAACATTTCTATAATAAAATTACTTAATGAAAATATAGTTTTATAATAAATCAAATGGAAAAATACCCTCTAAAACATTTTATCTTTGAAATATAAAATGATGGACAGTGAGATCATAGCCATGGCCATTCAGCACATAGCCCTTCCTTCCTTCTTGATTCGTGGGTCTCTCTTCTGCTCTAGGATTTCCTTTGGCCTCTTTTAAGATAAGAATTGTCTGATTTGAGGAATTCTCAGCTTTCACACTCATAGGTCCCAAGCATTGGCTCTCATTCACCCTCTTTTCAAACTGTGGTTTTCACAATCTCTGATAAAGCTAAGCTACAATATTATGCTTCTGCCAGCAGATGTCATCATCCAACATAAATTAATTAACCTCAAACATGTTTATTAAAATTCAAAGCCTTAGAATTAAAATAACTTACTTTGTTCCTTTATTAACTCAGTCCCTCTGAAACTCTACTGATAACGTTGAAGATTTATATTCAAGAGACAAAATCTTAAAGCAAATTATCCAAGACAAGTTAAAAACAATAAATGAATATAAAAGATTGCATTTATGGGCCGGCCGAGTGGCGCGATGGTTAAACAGAACTGGCTTGGGACGCCAGAGGGCCCCGGTTCGGATCCCACATATGAGGGCCAGTGACACTGCCCTCCACAGCTAAGAT